AATATGGTTAGGTGGTTATTGAGTCATCCTCATTCATTATTATGATTATGGTTAGGTGATTGTTGGACCCTTTTTCATCTTTTGCTATGTTATTGCATTATGGTCAGGCAGGCATTAGATTTCTTTTCCTTAGCTCCTTGTCTCGCTGTTGAAAATATGTCCAAATGAATATTGAGTCATCATCATTTACTATTGTGAATATGGTCCGGTCAACATTGGACCCTTTTTCATCTTTTATTCTATTGTTGTGAATATGGTTGGACATACATTAGATTGGGTGGCTCTTTACTCATTATTGCAAATATGGTTAGGTGCATATACAGTCATTTTCATATGCTAGTGTGAATATGATCAAGCAAATATTGAACTCCCTTCCAGGTTGGTTGCCATGCAGTATCCTAGGGGATATACTTCACCACCTCTTCATTCCCCTATTTTTATTTCTTGTTAGGGGTTTGTTAAGTTTTTCTTGGCTCCTTGTCTCATTGTTGTGAATATGGTTAGACAAATATTGGGTTGTCCTCATTCATTATTACGAATATGATCAGGTGAATGTTGGGCTCTTTTCTTTCTTTTGTTTTGCTGTTGCAAATATGGTCAGGCGTATATTAGATTGGGTGGCTCTTTACTTAGTGTTGTGAATATAAATATGTAGGTATCGAGTCATTCTCATTTGCTGTTGTGAATATGATCATGCAAATATTGAACTCCCTTCCTGGTTGGTTGCCCTGTAGTATCTTAGGGGTATACTTCACCACCTCTTTATCCCCCTATATTTATTTCTTATTAGGAGGTTATTAAGTCCTTGACTACTTATCTCGTTGTTGCAAAAATAATCAGCCGAATATTGAGTTGTACTCATTCACTATTGCAAATATGGTCAGATAAATGTTGGATTATTTTCTATCTTTTATTCTGCTATAACGAATATAGTCAAACAAATATTAGATTGGGTGGCTCTTTACTCATTGTTATGAATATAGTCATATGGGTATCGAGTCATTCTCATTTGCTTTTGCGAATAATATCAAGAAAATGTTGAACTTCCTTCCTAGTTGGTTACCCTGTAGTGTCTTAGGGGGTATACTTCACTAACCTCATCATTCCCCATGTTATTATTTTTATTGGCACTTTATCTCACTTTAGCGAATATGGTCAAGAGAACATTAAGTCATCCTCATTCACTATTATGAATATGGTCAGGTAAATGTCAGACTCTTCTTTATTTCTCACATCACTACGAGCATGTGTGTCTGGTGATTGTTGAGTTTTCATTGGATCCTTGTCTCGCTATAGCGAATATAGATAGATGAACATTGATTCGTTCTCATTCATTATTGTGAATATTGTCAGGTGAATATTAGACTCCCCTTTCCTGCTCATGTCACTATAGGCATGAGTGCAAGGTGATTTTTTTAGTTTTGTTTGGCTCTTTATTTTGTTGTTTTGATCTGGTCAGGTGAATATCGAGTCACCCTCATTTGTTGTTTCAATTTAGTTAGCAAATGTTGGGTGTCTTTCTCCCTTTTTTGTCCTACAATTTCAGTATAATGGTATGATTATTTTATGATTATATAATTGTGGCATCATTTGGTGATCATCTCATGATTGAGTGATTATTGTATGATTGTATGTTTGTTTGTTGAATTTTCTTGGTTGATTGTTGGGTTATATCTCCTTGTTGGGGGTCTATTTGTTGACCTCGATTTTCATATGTTTTCCTTTGAGCGAGCTGGAGTCTTGTGGGCCAAAATCAAACCTACAACCGATCGACATCTTTTGCTTGATATCCACAATCTCCATAAGTGGTAACAGGTAGCAAACAAGCTCCATTTTGGTAAATACTTTAACAACTGAAATGAGATGTGGAAGGGCGGGCTTTCTTTTTCATTTTTTGCATGCATTTCCTCCTAGTGCGGCAAGCCCTCTCACGAGCAGTTTGGTTTTTTGTTTGACCAGCCCTAAGAGAACAGGAGGACATGACATGAATATCTCTTTCTTGTTAGTTTGTCCCAGAGAAGGCAAGCGGTCCTCAGCATTTCAGCTCCAGCTTCTGTCTCCTTATTTTTGCACACCCCAAACAGAACAAGGCCTTTGTCTCCTACCTCTCTCTCACACCCTCCTCCTCTTCTTCACGTGAAGAGGGTCGAATGACCCTTGCCTTTGATATTCTTTCGCAAGAACGACTACATTCCTCTCCCGTCTCTCTGGTTTGTGTGACCTAGCCAAACTGAAAGCCTTTATTCTCCATGGATAATCATATGTATAGCTCCATCTTCTATCTCATTGTCATATTTGTGCAGAGCATAAAGGCCTACGATTTCTTTGTCATATGGGATAGTGTGATCGTATATTTTGCATTCTGATCCCTATGAGCAACATCCTTTCAGAGACCCACAAGGATGAGCAGGCCCGATACATGGTAGATGTTGCAGGTGTACAAGCAGCTCAAGGCTCAAGACAATCTCCCTCAGATGTTCCATCTAGATCTATAGGGGTTATAGTAGGTGATTAATTGGGAGAAATCAGGAAAGCTCATCACAAGAAACAATCCATACTCAGAACATGGATCCCCTTAGATATTCCATGTATCTTAGCAGTAGCAATTATAACATTACATCCACATACGACATAGGACAATCGTCAAAGCCTAGGCTGTCATACCCATTATACCCAGGAACTTAGTCACATCAGTTTAGCACATATAATGCATAGGTTGGTCATATTGTAGATTTGGACTATGTCAGCTAGTCCCAATAGATATCTTTATATTCATCATTTATCGTGTCTATACTAGATTAGATGGCACCTATAGGCTTACCGTCTTCACCAATAGTACAAGATTTATTCTTGACACAAGGAGAACCCACGTGTTTAGGAGTATGAGGACTTGGCTATTGATCCACTGCCTCAAAAGCGACCATGACAATCTCCAAGTAGATTTACTCAGGGAGAGATGTTATTCCACATCCCTGATAGTCGTAGCTTTGTTCTTTATTTCATTAGCTTACATGTAACATTTTTTTATGGACGAGTATTTCAATTCAATTCATTTTTACATGTCTAACTTCTTTGCACACATTATATGTATTATTGAAAGTTAAGGTCACCATCTAATTACTTAAGTTATCCAAGTTAAAATAAATAAATTATAAGTTCCTGCAAAACACTAGTACATAGCACAATAAACTGTATTAACACATTAGATATTGACTTTAATAAGCATGGGAAAGAAAGTATGACACAAATCAAACATATATAGTACTATATAGCTTTACTATTTCCTAAGCAATATATGCAGTCATGCTTGGAGTTGGGTTTGAGTTGGACAGCACTTGAAGTTAAACTATAACTCATATTGAAGGTGTTGTTAGTCCCTACCATTGAAAAACTCTTTTATCTTGCCTTCAAGTGATAACTCCATCCTATTCTTATAGAAATCCAAAATGAAATCATCTTAACCTGAATACCAAATATGATATAAAATCACATGCTCAATGTCTAGGTTACTGTAAGTAACATCACCTGAATGGACTCCTTATTTCTCACATCGTATCACATGATATCACAACTACAAAAACTGAGAACTAATAAGATGATGATATATTTCAGAAACCTTATTTCAAGATATTTCCAATCATAAGCATTTAAAAAATCTCTTGTCTTATATATTTTTATCCTCATTACTTCAATCATCATCTTCTGACCATTCATGGATGAAACACCTAAAAATCTCATTTGTATTCGCCATTCACTTCATTGAACTTTCTACAACCCATGCCATATAATCATGCATTATTCTACTTGCACCGTCTAATTTTTCTCTATTGGAGATGACTAGAATGCTCTTCTTACACGACCAATTCATGTTGAATGCAACAATTAAAAACTTCACAGCTAAACCTCATATATAAATACACTCCTTAAATAGCAGAGGTTAAAGATATCACACCTTCACATAAATCTTTAAATTATAAAATTACTTTATTGAACATTACATATTTATAGGTCATCTGATATGATAAATTGCTTCTAGCAATAATATCATATTAATGAACAATAATACAAAATGAAAAGGATCCTATGTTGTGAATAAAATTAAGCTAAATACACTGATCGATGAATAAAATTTCAAACATTTGCTTATACTATATTAGAAGATCATTACTATAAGCATAAATAAATTTTCAAAATTAAATTTAATCTAATTTATCATACATTATAGATTTCATAATACATTTCATACATTCCTCATATAAATCTAAATTGCTCATTCTTTTAAAATAAAACATTATAAAAAAAAAATCTAAAATCATACCTAAATCATAACAAATTAATTATTTGGTTACTTTTAAAGCTTCTTCATTCTTATTTTTAAGTTTATAAATTTATTTTATAAATATTGACAAAATTTAAACTCTAATTTATTTTTAAATTGTTTGCCAAAATTTTTAAATTTCATCATATGAAATTAGATAAAATTTTGAATTTGTTACTCATCTCATAAAATCAATGTTCATGAAATTTGATCAAAATTAGATTACCAAACAACCAAATCATCTCTCACATAAGAGACATCACGAACTCACATAAGATTTTGCGCATTTAGCCGGTGCAGCCGAGGAACAGGCAGAATCCGTAAATTTTTGTGATTGTTTTGACTTCTATTTAAAGACCTTTTCATATATCCAATAAAAATAGCATATAATAAAACCCATAAATTATTTAAAAATAATTTAAGAAGCTTAAAAACTAAGGTTTTATTTGGGACGGCTTTCTTACTACCACTTAAAACAGTTTTCTAATATAAAAATTTGATTTAAAAAACGGTAAAAAAGGAACGAAGCCTAAATTTCACCAATACGTAAAAGAAAATATAAAATGCAAAGAAATGCACTAAAAAAAAACCTCCAGAGAATATTAAAAAAGAAACCAGGCATATATTATATTGACTCGAAATAGTGAGCAATATCGCAAGTTAAGCACACATGTACACGATATAGAATTCAAAGGTAACATCCATGTGTTGAAAGATTGATGGTTTTCACATAAACTTAAAAAAAAAAACAAAGAAACTGAAAAATATATGTAATAATATGGTTGAATATCAATCAATATGTATGTAAAGATTAAAGGAACAAGGTAAAAGACCAACATGCAGAAGAGGAGATAAGTAAGCTCACGCTGATGGCTGATCCAACACACTGAAAGCAATTTTCACCTCAGAATCTGGCAGAAAGCTCCATTAGCCTAAGGCTTCATTTGAGACCCTTTTTTTTATTTTTTTTTAAAACAGCTTTTTAGTACAATTTTTGTACTAGAAAGCTGTTTTAAGAAGCAAAAAGTAGTCCCAAACAAAACTTAAAGGAGCAATCATATACAGTAAGCATTCTACAGCAGTGGCTCGTCATCTGAGGTGCTTTCTGCTACACCAAGAAAGTATTCAGAAAGGGGAGGTGCCATGGCCGTGCGGCTCGTAACACATGTTACATGCCCAACTGGAGAATCCTGAGCCTCTGAATCATCTGAAGAGCAGTCCTCAGCTTCAGGTCGCCATGTTAGAACCATTTCACGGCTAGCTTTGATGAAATCAACATCAAAGTGTCGTGTTTTAAGAGAGTGGCCGAGTACTTTAACGTGGCACACACTAGTTCAACAAAAATAACACATTGGTTCAGAAATCAGAATACAGAAGCAAGCAAAAAAAGTTTCAATCGTTTAATGCTTTTCTAACAAAATTATGACTGTTTTCAGCTTGAAAGTGATCATCTAGAAAGCCTGCTGTGATACACAAGATTTTCTGCACTGACCAAGCACAACCTAGTTGTACATTATAAAAAGTATAAAAGATGTGAAACACTGCAAAAAAGTAACAGGTCATTCAACGAAATAGAACCAGGCATCAGCAATCGTTTTCATTATAGAAAGCTACTGAGATGAAGGTTAATACAACCTGCACTGCTGAAATAATACTTCCTGCTATTGAATAAAATATCATATCAAAACAAAGAAGCTTTCTACCTTTGAATAGAGTCTATATTTGATATAGACCAAGAAAAAGCTTAAGGTGACAATACTGTTAATCATATTGAAATATAAAATATGTTGGAACACCCCCACCAGGCACTAGCTTGCATAATCCAATTCAACAAAGTGTATCTGAATTGATCATCTTGATGTCTATGCATGTAAAAACATTAAATTAATAATAATAATAATAATAATAATAATGTGCCCTAAAAAAAGCAAATGAAATTTCTTAGATTGATAAATAGTTGAATTGAATGATGGCATGATGCCAAAAACTCTTGACTCCTTATAAATCACTAGCAAATGCACCAAAATATAAAACAAAAGATGACATTTCAGAAGTGGAACTGCAGTAACAGAACTTAAAGGCAACAATATTTTCAGTATCACTCACCATATATAGTATAAGCCATCCGACTGTTGCACTTGAACCCTACCCAACAACTCAATTTGCAATATTCCACCAACACAAACAGCTGGGCGTGGAAGCTTGAAAGATTGCAAGGTATTTTCCTATCAATTTCAACAATGTTAAATGGAGAAATCAATACAATCAAAATTCATCTTTAAAAAAAAAGCAATACTATCATTAAGGCTTCGTTTGGGACGGTTTTCTTATTGCTTCTTAAAGCAACTTCCTAGTATAAAATTAAAATTTTTGTACTGATAAAATACTTTAAGAAGCAGAAAGAAAGCCATCCTAAATCAGGGTAATGCTGCCGCTTATTATTTTTCTCCACCCTCCCTTCCCACCAAAAGATAAAAAGTTGCAGTACAAGATGAGGACTCGCTAAAAAATTACTTCATGAAATTAAACATATATGACAGCTAATAGCTGCTTCTATTGGGTAGTCAAGTCATAGCAATGATGATCGGTCCACTAGACTTAGAGGCCTTGCAATTTGAAGATGAGCTATAAATAGCAAATCAAGGCATTCAAGAGTGCAAAGTGAAAGAATACAAGAAATAGTTAGTAAAGGTGTTTAGGCATTTTCTTGTATTATGGAGTTATTTTTTTCCCTAAAATATCACAGGAATAATGATCAAATAAAATAAAATATAAAAAATATTTTCAAAATAATCTATTTTATTATGTTAATAAACTTATTAAGAAATATTAAGGCTTAGTCAGAAATCTACCATATCTATAAATTACATATTAATTAGCAAAATATTTTTATACGAAAGTTCGACATTGCAATTAACGAGCCACCAATAAGCTTTTTGGGTGACCATTAAGTTGGCTGGTCACCAATAAGTCTTTGTGGTGCATCATAAGTTCAATCTTTGTGGCATAAAATTCCATCCATAAGTGGGTCGCCCCTAACATTAATGGAGCATTGTAAGGTGTTATTAGATCAAGGATAACATTTTCAGGCAATTGCTATTTTTTGCAGGCAACTAGTTCAATATAATTGTTGGATGATAAATCTGCCATTCTTAGTTGACCAGGATAGCTATTTTGGTTGCTTAAAATCACGTAATCAACTTTCTATAGACTACAAATTCTCCACTAGCAAATGTATATCATTCCGCACATATTTTCATAAATCAAGAAGAGCATTTTGAGCACTAAAAGATATATATTGCCTTTAAAAAAAAAATTTGTGCAGTATTCTATCAGTGATGTAGTATTATTTCATAGTATTTAATTTGTACATTTGCAAACATTTTATATTAAAATTGTACACACTTTATATCAGTTGATGATAGCCTTTGTCATTACCCAAGTCTTAAAAGACTTTTGAAGAAGGTTTATTCCCTAATGTTAAGTGTTGTGAAAATTTCTCCACTTATGGAAGTAGTGAGCTACAAGTTACAATCCTGGATGGTGGAATTCTGGTTAGGGTTAGGAGTGAGGTATGGACAAAGGCTATTGGGTAGGTCAAACCACAAAAATATCAATCATTTTCATTTTGCTATATATAACAGATTTTACTATCATCATACATTTGTGATTTATGCTCTCATGTTTACTTGGTTAAATGATCTTGATGCTAAAATAAGTGAGTTAACTTACTTATTGTGCTTATCAAGTCAATAGCTTTCTCTTAAGCATAAATTTATTTATATCACCATCACATCATTATTTTGTAGACACTTGTGTTTTGATATTCAATAAGATTAATCTTATAAGCTAGTTAGTGTAAATATTTCATGTAATTGTGCTTATAGTTAAAGCACTCCCATTAAGCTCAATTGTTTATACAGAGCCATCACTTTTGCATAATTAATTTTATAATAAGTTTGCACAGTTATGTAGGAAAAAATAACTAGTGATATTAAGAATGTTGCAGAGTATATACTTGACATATCAAAAGGAAAAACTCTTGATAGTAAAAATAGTTAGTGACATAATCAAAATGTGCAAAAAAGATTAAATCATTAAAAACTATATTATAAAAATTAACTTAGATATAAAAACTCAAAAATTTGGGAAATATATAGAGGAGCTTCTAGAGAGTCTAAAAAAATAATATGTTATGCAAAGAATTTAGCTTTTAGTTATTTATATAACAGATTAGATACTAATAGTGCGAACGATATATGCATATGTTAGCCAAATAAAGAGATGGGAGAAGTGAGGATATTGTTCAAGTAAAGTGCATTAAGATTGAAGAACAAAAAGTACTTTTCTTATAGGAAAATATTCAACATAGGAGGTTGAGATATTTCAATAAGCTTTTTAATGAAAACTGTGATAATGCAATTAACTTTAGTGACTTTAACACCCTAAATAAAAAATAGAAACTTTTATTTTTATCATCATATTAATAAAATCGAAGCTGGATAAACTTAAAAAAAAATGAAGTGTGGAAAAGTAATTTCAATAGAGTTGTGGAAATGCTTAGAAGATCAAGAAATTTCTTTTCTTACTAAACTTTTTAAAATTATTTTAAAGATTAAAGTGATGCTAGATGAGTGAAAAAGAAGTGTCTTGGATCTTGTTTTTAAGAATAAAGGTGATGCAGAATTACAGAAGAGTGAAAATTATGGAAGAATTATTTTAATGTATCATACATTAAAGTTATGGGAGAGAGTAATTGAGTATAGGTTACAACATGATACTAATGTTTTTCAAAATCAGTTTGGATTCATGTTAGGTAGGTCTACTAAGCTATACATTTGTTGAGAGGTTTGATGGAGAAGTATAGAGAGTAAGGAGGATCTACATATGATATTTATTGATTTAGAGAAAGTATATGATAAAGTTCCAAGAGAACTGCTTTGGAGAGTTCTAAGAATATGTTTTAAAAATGATTTTATTCAAGTCATTAAGGAACTATATATAGGAGTTGTTACTTGTGTAATTGTGTTCAAACACAAGGTGGTTTGACCAAGTATTTCCTATTTCAGTTGGATTGCATCAAGGATTAGATTTAAGCTCATATCTTTTTGCTTTAATTATGAATGTTTTTACTAGACATTTGCAAGAGGATCTACCCTGATTTATGCTTTTTGTTGGAGATATTCTTTATGTTGATAAGACTAGAGAGAGTTGACGAAAAACTTAATTATGAAGGTCAACCTTAGAGTCTAAAGGTTTTCATTTGAGTATATCTAAAATCAAACACATTGAGTGTAATTTTAGTAATAATAGATGTAGTGGTGGGACAACAACAAGAAATAGAAGAAGCAAAAGAAAAAGTCAAGGGAAAAGAAACCAAAGAAGATACAAAAGCTCTTGTGATATTGGTTGATAACATAGAAAGAAAATGAAAGAAGAGCAAACCACTCCTCTAAGCATGGTTCTGACTCAAAAAGAAACTTAATTGTTGGTTATGAATTGTCTAATGCTTTTAATGAGTTAAGTATTGATTTTAAAAAATTGAAAGAGAAATATTTATCTAGGAAGAAAGAAACAAATCCTTTAAAAAGAACAAAAAAAGGCTATTTTGAATGACATTAATTTGACTATTATGATTAAATTCTCCAAGAGAGGAAGCCTAGGAGCACTCAAATAATCAGATATTCCTCCCTAATGTCAGATTCACCATTCAATAGAACAAATTAAGCAGTTTTAAAGGAATCTTTCAAGCAATTCTAAACCAAAAACACGCATCTTGAACACTAGAAACATATAGGTTAATAACCTCCAACTATGATATGACTTTACAGCATCTCAATCCCCCTCTGCAAAAACTAAATTATTGTACCATTGTTTTTTTTTTCATTTCACACAACTTCCGAAACCAATCCAAGACATCAAATTATATACCATCATCATTAGCCTAATCCTGACAATTTCAGGCTGGCCATATCAGTTTTTAGTCTCCATTGAATCCTATTAAACCTTTAAGAAGCGAGACTGATTAATTAAAGTTCGAGTTCATAGCTATATTGAATTGAATATCAGCTTCTAGGGCACCTCTCTACATCTTTGAGTTAGCTGACTGACATTCCATGAATAGAATAGATCTTATGGATCGAAGTCAGAAGACCATCCAACCATGCCTGTCCCTTAGTAAGATGACAACGACTGAAAAACTCCTTTAGATTAATGTGGCTCCCTTGCAAATTTCCCTGCTGCTGAAATGGAAGTGCTCATGGACAATCAATCCGGATCAAAATAGTCATTTTTTATCAATACAGATCGTATTTGTCATTCAAGCAGAATGAACTACTTCGCACCTTATCCGGGCTTCAGAAAACCAAATTATTGTGCAATGGGGAGCAGTAGTTGAAACCAATTATTTCTTCCACGACCCAAGATCAACTAAGCGGATTAGATGTTCAATCTAGTCTGCATAACTTTCAACTTCTGATCTACCACTAGCCCCTTCCTCTTCTACATTAATTTCATCATCCCTTATTGGTGTATCTTCTACTTTCATTATACATGTCCAAACCAATAAAGTATATTTTCCATTATCTAATCTCCAATAGATACCCATTGTTTCTCCAATACAAACATTTCTTACAGCATCATTCCTAAGTTTGACATGTAAAATACCCCGCCATACTTCTCCATCTCGCTTGATAATAACAAAAAATTATGCAAATAACAGATGCCAACTACATTAATAAAGGTTTGGTCCTTGGCTAACCTAGTGATGTGATTATACAACTAAAGCAGAGGGCAATCCAGCCAGCTCACCACATATTATTCCTATATGCATATTTAGGGGGACAGAGACATACCATGTTGTCATATTTATCTAATCAACATACCAATGGCTTACAGCTATCACCCGTAAGAACAATAGCATAGAATATTAGCTTTACCTGCAACATGTGAAATTCTGGTGAAATATACGTCCACTCATAGTTATTATCAGCAGAAGCTTCACCTTGTATTCCTATAGAAGTTTCAAGAGGTAACCGAGAATGACCCATCCGAAACCGAACAGTTTTTGCTGAATAAATTGGGTTTTCAGGCTGAAAGTATGCTGGAGAGAAATTAAAAGTAATTCACAAGGACCACTGAAATTACATAGAGAAAACAGGAAACTCAGGGTGGTAATGCTAACCTTCAAAAGGCTGTATCAATATTTCATTAACAACGCATAACTCGGAAAGCAACCTGTATGTTAATGTCTCAGGAACTTCGGGATCGCTTTGTCCCTCACTTGACCAATAGGAGGACCTCATGCCCACGTGATTACTTGGTACCAATGTATTTTCTATGCTCTCGATTGGAAAGTTATCAGTGCTAGAAGCACGAATTGCCCTAAAAATGCAATCTCTTTTTCTAACAACTGAAGTAATGGAGCGGCTTAAATAGGAATACACTCTATGCTCTCTTTCTAAGTTCTTCCACTCTGCACAAGAACTAGAGCCAGCTTCTGAAGTTAGCGCAGAGCAGGCTTCCACCACAAATGTAAGATTTGAAAACTCAGGGCACATTCTGAAGCATAGGGCTTTGCAAAAACGGTTTGCAATAACTGCAAAGCATATAAAATTGCTTCAGAACTAACAGCTGCAATAAGATAAAAGGATTTCATCATAAGGAAGATTTCATAACATAATGATAAAAGAACAAACAAAAAATTTGCTATAGCAGCAATCAGAGACCCTTTTCACCATTTTGAAGCAAGAATTGATCGAAAGTGAAAAAAAACTCTGCATAATTGTGGAACTACCATGTTGGGTAACTTACCAGATTGAAGTAAGAGAACTTACAAGATTGAAGTAAAATCCATAAAGTAATATAAAATCTGGTTTAATACATGCTCAGAGAAAATAGACCAAAGTAAATCCAAGATATCACAAAGAACAAAGGACACGGATTAAGTTCATTTTCAGTTTTATTAGTTTTAATAGTTGACTCAATTAGAAGTGTAAGTGAGCCGAGCCAGCTCGAGCTCGACTCGTTAATGAGCTTGCGAGTCGAGCTTATTGAGTCATGAGTTTGAGCTAGAGCTTATACTCGAGCGCGAGCTCAAGCCTGACTCAACTAGAAAGCTCGTTGAGTCGCTCAATTAAATTAAAATATATTTAATAATTAATGCAAATTAGCACTATATAATATATTTTAATAATGTTAAATTAATTCAATATTAAAAAAAATAAATTCTTAAAAAAAATTAAATTTAAATCTGCGAAATCGAGCTCAATAATCGAGTCGAGCTCGAGCCGATAAATTTTTTAACAAGTTGAGTTCAGTAAACAAGCTCAAGCTCGAGCTCAATAAGAGCTAAACAAGCTTAGCTCGATTAGGCAGATACTCGGCTCGACTCGTTTACACCAATAAACTCAATTATAACTTCTAAATCCATTGCACGGGTAGACAAACACAAACAAGGAACTGGAGTATCTAATCACCAAATATTTCATCCAACACAGTTCCAACTGAAGAAGAGATAATTGCATGATATCTAAGATTTAAAAAATGCACTATTTGATATTGAGGCAGTTCTATATGTGAAACGAGATATGAATCTTGAGGTATTTTGGGAAGCAAGCCCCAGAATCAACATATTATGCAAAGTAATATGTACCATACTAACATCAAAGTAAGAAGTAAAAGTACCATGCTAATTAATATTAAAGTAAAATATCAAAGTAAGAATATAACAAGTCAAAGTAAATTCATCACAATAAGTATCTCACTTCCAAATCAACATTAACAAGTAATCAAAACCATTAAGATTATAATTTATAAATTCAAAACTCTCCACCACTATCATCACTTATTAGGCCTTCATTACGATCACCATTATCATGAATTGCTTTCGCTCCTCCCTCATCCTGAGATTTGTCAACATCATCCCAATCTTCCTCTGACTCTCATATTTTTTTTTTTTTCCTCTGACTCTCATATTTCAATCTTCCTTTTCCCTAATCCATAAAAATTAATAAGAAAATTAATTAAAATTTAAAATAATGACTATTGATTGTTACAACTTCAATTGCAAAATTTTAATAGTAATATTTTTGTTGCAACTTGTTAACTTGTGTTGGCCCTATTGGTCTTACTTCTTCCTCCATCTATAAAAGTCAAAATTGATATCTTCATCATGCACTACTAATGGTGTAACTTTATTTTCATCATCCATAAATTATTCATCATATGATGGCACATCATGACAAACAAATAGATCTTCATTATCCTCCAAAACTGTCCTCTTCATATATTTTTCTTTTAATCGTTTATTGTACATACTATAAACTAACGAGTTCATCCCTAAGGTAGTCAAATGATTTCTCCTTTTCATATACACTTGCTAATAGGTACTTCAAGGTAATTAGCATGAAAGTCCCAATACTTTGATAACAAATTGTAGTTTTGGAGTACCATCTCCAAATTGAATCCATCATTCAACCAATTTTTCAAGAAAACAAACATAATTAATATAATATACAAATTTGGCGAAACTTAACAAGTAAATTTTAAAAGCAGCATTGTGTGATTGTATATTTAGCTTATTGTATTCCAAAATATCAATTTTCATTTCTAAATGCTTCAAGTTGAAAATTAGCTTTTTACTTTCTCAATTGAGTAGGCTATCAATCTATCCATAGTGGTACATACCAAATTTGATATCTGAATAGTTGACTTGTTCTTGATATATTAATATCAAGGATTAAGATAATATTATGTGGCATGCATATGACAAAGAAGTTGAAGCTTCCACTTCTCATCAAATAATTTCTAAATTTTCTTATAACTTGATTCCTCTCCTCCTAAGTTAAATTCTAACTCCTTTGCCTCATCCATCACATTATAAACGAAACCCAAAACAAACTTCTTTTTTTTTTTGTATCAAGCATTCTTAAAGCATGAACCAAGAGCTTAGTTTTTGTTAACTGTACAAACAAGTGCAGACGAAGTCGCGTGAATATCTTCGGTAGTCAGTCCATTTCCATAATCCGGTATAGCATACGTCACACTTAACCAAAACCTATCATTCAAAACAATATTACTAATTTATGTCTTCAAGTTTCATAGTCTAAAAGAATGCCTCATGACACAAAGTAGGCAAATTACCTATATCACACCTTTTTTTAAAGCTAACCAACATAAAAGAAAATCCTATATATCTTAAAAAACTAACACATTGTCAAAACAAGCTAGTTGAACTAGAGTTCATTAGACAAAGGTTTAGTTAGATGAAACTAAACATCATTAAAAGGTCAAAACTTTAAAAATTCTTATCATCGTCCATTTATTGCTAGGTGCATACATAACCACCAACAAATGCAATATTTATTGGAGCTACACTTTTATAACACTTTTCAATAAATTAGATGAAGTTCGAAGAAGCTTAATGAATATTATTAGCACCACTAATTAATGCTAATCATGGTGTAATATTTGCTAGGATCCATATTAATAATGTGTGTATATGTAATTCGCCTATTTTTAGTTGTCCGTAGGTAACTAGTCCTACTCCTAGACAATAGAAGTTGAGGTATTCAATTTCACAAATATTCATGATCAAAAGAAAATAAAGATTGTTTATTTTATCAGTATATTAATAAAACTGAAATTAGAGAGGCTTTAAAGAAATGAGGTGTGGAAAAGCTATTGGACCTAATGATATTTCAATAGAGGTGTGGAAATGCTTAGGAGATGAAGCAATTTCATAGCTTACTAAACTTTTTAATATTATTTTGAAGACTAAAAAGATGTCAGATGAGTGAAGAATAAGTTTGTTGATCCTTATTTTTAAGAATAAAGGTGATGCAAAAGATTGTGCAAATTATAGAGGAATTCAGTTAATGTGTCATACTTTAAAACTATGGGAGCGAGTTATGGAGCATAAGTTATGAAGTCGTCATAATAATTTTTCTCAAAATCAATTTGGATTCATGTCGGGTAGATCAGCTATGGAATATATACATTTATTGAGAGCTTTGATGGAGAATTATAGAGAGAATAAGGAGGATCTTCATATTTATTGCTTTAGAGAAAACATATGCTAAAGTTCCAAGAGAAGTGATATAGAGAGTTCTAGAAAAAAGGGGTTAATAATGTAAAAAAAATAAAAAAAAAAATATGCAGGAGTTGTTACTTTTGTTCAAACACAAGGTGATTTGACCAAGTATTTTCCTATTTCTATTGGATTACATCAAGGATCAGCTTTAAGCTCATATCTTTTTTCTTTAGTTGTAGATGTTCTCACTAGACATTTGTAAGAGGACCTTGGTTTATTTTTTTTGCTGACAATATGCTTCTTGTTGATAAGAATAGAGAGGGAGTTGAAGGTAAACTCGAATTATAAAGGTCAACCTTAGAGTCTAAAGGTTTTCGTTTGAGTAGATCTAAAATCGAATATATGAAATATAATTTTATTAGTGAAAGATCTAGTGGGGGGTTTGTGAGTTTGGACAATCAAGTCATTAATAAGAGTACTTGTTTTAGATATCTTGGGTCTATTGTTCAAAGTGATGGTGAAATTGATGGGGATATTATTAGTAGAATTCAAGTTGGATGGTTGAAGTGGATGAATGCATCGAGCTTGTTGTGCGATAAAAAAGTACACCTCAAACTTAAGGGAAAATTTTATAAGATGGTGCTGAGACTTGCAATGCTTTATGGTGCAGAATGTTGGCCATTAAAATAGAAGCATAATATTGAGTTAAGTGTTGCAGAGATAAGGATGCTCAGGTGGATGAGTGGCTTTACTCTTATAGACAGGATACGAAATGAGCATATATGTGAAAAGGTTGGAGTAGCTCCTGTGGAAGATAAGATTAAGGAGAGTCGCCTTAGACGGTTTAGTCACATAAAACGATGGCCCTCAGATGACCCGATTAGAAAAGTAGATGCAATGGATTTGGCTATGTTAAGAAAGATAGAGGTAGACCTAAAAAGATTTGGTTAGAAATATTAGAAATTACATTTCATTATTAGATTTAAATGAGAATTTGACTCTTAATAGGACACAATGGAGAAAAATGATTCATATAGCCGACCCCACATAGTGGGATAAAGGCTTGATGTTGTTGTTATTGAACAAAATGGATTATATATATAAATATATATTTATATATGATACCTATTTTACACACTTTATACATATACTTTTACATGAATTAAGTTAATTATAAGTTGAATTAAAGTGGTTTTGAATGGGCCATCCTTGAGTTGGGGCAATGAATTGATTAAAATTCGAGCGACTTGCAAGTTTTGAACCAAATTTGCCAATCCTAAAATAAAAACCAAAACAGTAAATTCCTTCAATTCCTCCACTGAAGTAAGCCAACATAATTCATATTAAAAAAACTAACTAGATTATCAAATTCAAATCTATGCAAACAAACCTTCACTCAACCCTTCCCTACATGTAACTTTACATAAACTCGCACTCTTTCTCAACTACCTCAATACAAGTCACCCTCAAGAAATCAAATTCATCTGAGCCCTTTAACAATTTAAAAAGAAAAAATGAACATCTCAATACTAGCATTTTTATATAACTATCATGGTAATATGTGA